ATAATAATTTTCCTTCCAATCAAATGAAAAAGTGATGCCTGATTTTCCATATATAATAATTAATAATTATAACAACAATACATTCCCTTTGAAATGTCACTTTCTGCACACAAGGTAATCCCAGATTTTCCATATATAATTATCATAATAACAATAAATTCTCTTCCAAATGCTACTTTCTCCACACAACCAGATGCAAAGGTGATGCCCAATTTTCCATATATATTATTATGATAACAAATTATCTTCCAAATGCCATTTTCTGCACACAATTGCGTGTGTCATAGAAGAGAATGCATATGGCAGGTTCGAACAGACGCTTGCCTTTTGCAGCCAGAGAAGGAGGGGCTTCCCCTTCGGCCCTCCTACGCAACCGCAAGCCACAACCAAAACAATGAAAGCCCGGCACAGATTTTAAGAGGGGGGGAAATGGAACAAATTGAAAATAAATTTTAAAAACACCCTTAGAAACACAGAAAGCATGAAAAGACGCCCAAAAGACATTGGGGAAACCAAGGCTGCCAACTAAAATACATGGGGCGGAATTGGGAGGGGATGCAGAAACAGGCCCAGATTTAAAGGCAAACCTCCGTGAATTGGGAAAGAATTTGCACCATTATTAAGTCAGAATATAAATTCATTAAAAAGGAGAGAAAGCAATGGGATTTCAGAGCAGACTGTGCTGCACAGATTGCTGGTTTTGCCTTGCATTTATAATGCAGGAGTGTAATAACAACAGTGCTGCATTAAAAAAAGAGAAACAAATGTGTTTGTAGAGACGACATTGCATATAGCGTACATTCAGTGTCGCCTTCATATTTAAAAGCATTATTATTTATTATAAATACATTAAAAGGAAAGAAACCTGCTGAGAGATGCATTGCATAGTCAGCATTCAGATAGGGAAAAATATAAATGCATTAAAGAAACAAGAAATAATGTGTATTGTCGAAGGCTTTCATGGCTGGAATCACTAGGTTCTTGTGGGTTTTTTCGGGCTATAGAGCCATGTTCTATAATGTGTTTAATCACATTTATATTATTTTATAAAATTATTTATTTTATTTATTATCATTATAGATACATTAAAATGAATGAATTTTTATATTATAAAAATATAATATTACTGATTATAAATGCATTAGAAAGAGAGAAAGGAACATGCTTGAGGAGAAGTTGAATGCATTATAGTCTGCATTTGGATATATAAGAATATAAATATAAATTAAAGAAAGAGGAAAGATGTGTTTTATAAATGTTCTAAATAAAGGTATAAATGTTATAAATAAATAAATAAAATGTGTTTTAAGAGGATTATTTTATAATATATTATTTATTATCATTATAGATGCATTAAAATACATAATATAATAGTAATTATATTGCTTTAGAAAGAGAGAAAGGATATAAATGCATTAAAGAAAAAGGGGAAAATGTGCTTTCAGAGGAGGCTACATAAAATAATACAATGATAATTATTACTATTATTATAATAAATGCATTGTATTTATAATATTTTATACTGCATTATTTATATTGTAGATGCATTAAATGCATAAAATAATAATATTATTATTAATGATAATGACAAAAGAAACATACCGGAGGAGGTATTTTACACATTGCAGTCTACATTTGGATCAATAGATAAGATATAAGTGCATTAACATCTATAAATATATTATTATCATTATTATTGATCATTAAAAGAAAGAAATCTGCTGGAGGAGAAGTTGCATAGTCTGCATTTGGATTTATAGGTAACGATTATAAATGCATTGAAATGCATAAAATAATAATAATATATTTTCATAATAATAATATATTAAATATTATTATATATTATTGTTGTTGATTATAAATGCATTGGAAAGAAAGAAAGCAACCTGCTGGAGGCAGCATTGTATGCATTGCATAGTCTGCATTTGGATTTATAGGTAAGGATTATAAATGCATTAAAGGGCATAAAAATAATATATTAATAATATATAATAATTAATATAATAATATATAATCATTATTGTTGATTATAAATGCATTAGAAAGAGAGCAAGCCACCTGCTGGCAGAGGTGTTGCACGCATTGCATTGCCTGCATTTGGATTGATAGGTAAGGATTATAAATGTATTAAAATGCATAAAATTATATATATATATATATTATTTTATAATATATTATTTATTATAATATATTATATAATAAGAATAAGAATAGCCTGCATTTGGATTGATAGATAAGGATTATAAATGCATTACAATGCATATATTAATAACAATAATATAAATGCATAGAAAGAAAGAAACCATTTGGATTTATAGGAAAGGAGATCAATGCATTCACTGCATAATATATTATTATTATTATTATTATTATTAATAATAATAATAATAATAATGCATTGAAAAAAGGAATCACTTGGATGGATAGGGAAGGATATCAATGCAATAAAATGCATAATAATAATAATAATAATGCATAGAAAAAGGAATCACTTGGATGGATAGGGAAGGATATCAATGCAATAAAATGCATAATAATAATAATAATAATAATGCATAGAAAAAGGAATCACTTGGATGGATAGGAAAGGATATCAATGCAATAAATGCATAATAATAATAATAATAATAATAATAATGCATAGAAAAAGGAATCACTTGGATGGATAGGTAAGGATATCAATGCAATAAAATGCATAATAATAATAACAATAATAATGCATAGAAAAAGGAATCACTTGGATGGATAGGTAAGGATATCCATTATTATTATTATTATTATTATTATTATTATTATTATAGTAATAATGCATAGAAAAAGGAATCACTTGGATGGATAGGTATCAATGCAATAAAATGCATAATAATAATAATGCATAGAAAAAGGAATCACTTGGATGGATAGGTAAGGATATCAATGCAATAAAATGCATAATAATAATAATAATGCATAAAAAGAAAGGAACCATTTGGGTGGATAGAGAAGGATATCAATACATTAAAATACATAATAATATTAATATACATGCATAGAAATAAAGGTATCATTTGGATGGATACGTAAGGATATAAATGCATTAAAATGCATAACACAATAATGATAATAATAATAATAATAATAATAATAATAATAATATAAGTGCATGGAAAGAAAGGAACCATTTGGATGGATAGGTAAGGATATCCATTATTATTATAATAAGAGTAATAATGCATAGAAAAAGGAATCACTTGGATGGATAGGTAAGGAGATCAATGCATTAAAATGCATAATATAATAGTAATAATATAAATGCATAGCAAGGAAGGGACCATTTGGATGGATAAGTAAGGGTATGAATGTATTAAAAAGCATATAATAATAATAGTAATAATGTAAATGCATAGAAAGAAAGGAACCGTTTGGATGGATAGGTAAGGAGATCATTGCATTAAAATGCATAATAATAATAATAATAATAATAATAATAATGCAAAGAAAGAAAGGAACCATTTGGATGGATAGGTAAGGATATCAATACATTGAAATGAATAATACGAATAATAATAATGCATAGAAAGAAAGGAACAATTTGGATGGATAGGTAAGGAGATCAATGCATTAGAATGCATAATATAATAGTAATAATATAAATGCAGAGCAAGGAAGGAACCATTTGGATGGATAAGTAAGGGTATGAATGTATTAAAAAGCATATAATAATAATAATAATAATAATAATAATAATAATGTAAATGCATAGAAAGAAAGGAACCATTTGGATGGATAGAGAAGGAAATCATTGCATTAAAATGCATAATAATAATAATAATAATAATAATAATAATAATGCAAAGAAAGGAACCATTTGGATGGACAGGAAAGGATATCAATGCATTAAAATGTATAACATAATAATAATAATAATAACAACAACAACAATAATATAAGTGCATGGAAAGAAAGGAACCATTTGGATGGATAGGTAAGGAGATCAATGCATTAAAATGCATAATAATAATAATAATAATAATAATAATAATAATAATGTAAATGCATAGAAAGAAAGGAACCATTTGGATGGACAGGTAAGGATATCAATGCATTGAAATGAATAATACTAATAATAATAATGCATAGAAAGAAAGGAAGTATTTGGATGGACAGGTAAGGCTATCAATGCATTAAAATGCATAATAACAATAATAATAATAATGCATAGAAAGAAAGGAACCATTTGGACAGGTAAGGATATCAATGCATTAAAATCCATAATAATAATAATAGTAATAATAATAATAATAATAATAATATTGCAAAGAAAGAAAGGAACCATTTGGATGGACAGGTAAGGATTTCAATGCATTGAAATGCATAATAATAATAATAATAATAATAATAATAATGTAAATGCATAGAAAGAAAGGAACCATTTGGATGAATAGGTAAGGATATCAATGCATTAAAATGCATAATAATAATAATAATAATAATAATAATAATAATATTGCAAAGAAAGAAAGGAACCATTTGGATGGGCAGGTAAGGATTTCAATGTATTGAAATGAATAATACGAATAATAATAATGCATAGAAAGAAAGGAACCATTTGGATGGACAGGTAAGGCTATCAATGCATTAAAATGCATAATAACAACAACAATAATGATGATGCATAGAAAGCAAGGAACCATTTGGATGGATAGGTATGGATATCAATGCATTGGAAGAGGGCATATTGCCTTGATCTCCATGCAAAACATTCAATGGGTGCCCTTTGGAATACGAAATGGCAGTCGGTGGGCCCCCCAAAGAGGCCCCAGTGCGGGGGGCCCTTCCAGAGCCAAAGGGGGCTCCCTGGGAGGCTTTTGAGGGCGCCTCCCCCTTTTCCAGAGCTCCCCTCCCTCTCTGGCCTGCCTCAGCCTCCATTTTGTTTCAGGCCAGGCCTACCGGGAGGGGGGGGGCAGGCCTTTCTCGCCCGCCGAGGGGCCCCTCCGCGGCCCGGAGCCCCCGAGACCCACCTGTGAGGGTTGCGGGGAGCCTGGGGTTTCCGGCGGAAGCGCTCCCGAAGGCCTCGGGGGCCGGGGTAACGGAGGATGGCGGAGGATTTCCGGGAGGGGAAAAAAACGGCGGAGGAGGCTGCTTCTGGGCGTCTGCTCGGCTAGGCCTCCTCCTTCTTCTCCGCGGCCACCGAGGCGCTTGTCAATCTCCGGCTAGAGCGGGCGGAAGTGCCTGGGAGGAAGCGAGGAAAGGAAGGAGGGGGCAGCGACACCTAGCGGGCTTGCCGAGAAATGCAGGCGTGGATGCAATTGGAAAAGAGAATGGAAGGGACAAGGAAAAGGAAATAAATCTCAACAATTTCAACAGAAAGGAGGAAACCATAAAAATGAACACAATCTGGCGACCAGTATTAAAAAAAAACCCTAAACAGCACAACAACAGAGAGGAAACAAACAAGGACATCTAATCACCTCTCAACAAAAGTTTGCTCCAGGCACTGTCAGGCCATTATATGCTAATCAAGGGGGTCAGTTGAAACATTCACACCTAGCTCCAGCAGACCAGAGTCCTTTGCCCCACCCTGGTCATTCCACAGATATATAAACCCTTTTTCCTAGTTCCAATAGACCTCTGAGGATACTTGCCATAGATGCAGGTGAAACGTCAGGAGAGAATGCCTCTAGACCTACAACAACCCAGAGATCTATTATTATTATTATTATTATGTTGATTTATAAGCCATTTTCCCTCTGAAAACGAGACTAAAAGTGTCTTACAGTAAAATCAATGCAATACACCACAGAAAGATTAAAAGAGAATATTTTCCCCCTTTCTAGTATTGTTATCAGAAACACAACAAGATGAGTCCATAGCAGACAAGATCACTCTGCTGGCTGTTGTATTGGATCACACGTCGGACACTTCCCAAGTGTCTAGGACTGTGTGATGTATCGGCAAATATTACGTGCAGATCCCAGTAAGGTGGCCTTTTGCAGCTTGTCAGTGTTGATTGTTTCTAAGTGCAAGCCAAGGTCTTGAGACACTGCACCCAGTGTGCCCTTCACCAATGGGGCCCCCTTGATTGGCTTGTTTTATGTCCATAATTATGATTTATGCCTGAATCAAGGAACAGTACCATATATTATATTATTATTAATAATACTATATTATTATAATATTGTTAGTAATCATATTATTTAAGTTATATATAAATAATATGCATATATATGTGTATATATAATTTATTTATATTATTATATAATATTTTATCTTATTATTTAAATTATATATTAATAATATGTATATATGTATATATATATAATTTATACCTGAATAATTGAACTATATATATTATTAGTATTACTATTATTCTTATACTACTACTAATAATAATAATATTTGCCTGGATAATGGAACAGTATCATAGAATCATAGAATCAAAGAGTTGGAAGAGACCTCATGGGCCATCCAGTCCAACCCCCTGCCAAGAAGCAGGAATATGGCATTCAAATCACCCCTGACAGATGGCCATCCAGCCTCTGTTTAAAAGCTTCCAAAGAAGGAGCCTCCACCACACTCCGGGGCAGAGAGTTCCACTGCTGAACGGCTCTCACAGTCAGTACCATATAGTATTATTATTACTACTTTTATTATTACTATATTATTATTAATCATATTAATTATATTATTATATTAATAATATGTATATTATTACATTATATATACATAATTATGATTTTTGCCCAAATAAAGGAATGGTACAATATATTATTATTAATCATATTCTTTATATTATTATATTATAAATTATTATTAATATATATATGCCTGAATAAAGGAACGGTACCATTTTTATTATTATTATTATTATTATTATTATTATTATTATGTTTTCCTCTGTACAAAAGAGAATCAAAGCGGTTTACAGAAAAACAATAACAAGCATTAAAATAGTATATATATATATATATATATATATATATATATACAGAGAGAGAGAGATTTATATCCGGGTTGTTGTAGGTTTTTATGGGCTTAGGCGATCCCTTGTTGGACGAGTAAGATGGTCTTCCTTGATGACTATTTTTGTGGGTTTGTAGTTGGCTGTGGAGCCACCTCCAAGGTCATGTGGCTGGCATGACTCCATGGAGCGCCGTTACCTTCCAGCCGGAGTGGTACCTATTGATCTACTCACATTTGCATGTTTTCGAACTGTTCGGCTGGCAGAAGCTGGAACTGACAACGGAAGCTCACGCCGCTCCCTGGAATCGAACCTGCGACTTTTACAAACATATATATACTAGCCATCCCCTGCCACGCGTTGCTGTGGCCCACTCTGGTGGTCATGGGGGTTCTGTGTGGGAGGTTTGGCCCAGTTCTATCGCTGGTAGGGTTCAGAATGCTGTGATTGTAGGTGAACTACAAATCCCAGCAACTATAACTCCCAAATGTCAAAGTCTATTTTCTTCAACCTCCACCAGTGTTCACATTTGGGCATAGTGAGTGTTCGTGTAGAGTTTGGTCCAGATCCATCATTGTTTGAGTCCACAGTGCTTTCTGGATGTAGGTGAACTACAACTCCCAAAGTCAAGGTCAATGCCCACCAAACCCTTCCAGTGTGTTCTGTTGGTCATGGAAGTCCTGTATGCCATGTTTGGTTGAATTCCATCATTGGTGGAGTTCAGAATGCTCTTTGATTGTAGGTGAATTATAAATCCCAGCAACTACAACTCCCAAATGACAAAATCATTATTATTTTTTTTGAGTGAAGGACATACATTGGGTTGTTAGGTGTCTTGTATCCAAATTTGGTCAATTCATCCAGTGGTTTTTGAGTTCTGTTAATCCCACAAACGAACATTACATATTTATTTATATAAGATATAATATCTACTCACATTTGCATGTTTTCGAACTGCTAGGTTGGCAGAAGCTGGAACTGACAACGGAAGCTCACCATGCTCCCCGGAATCGAACCTGTGACCTTTCGGTCAATAAGCTCAGCAGTTCAGCGCTTTAACCCACTGCGCCACCGGGGGCTCCAATAATAATGATGATGATGATGATGATGATGATGATGATGAAGTTGAAAAGTGGGTTTGGACGACAACTCCCATCAGTTCAATATCTGAGAATTATGGGAGTGGCAGTCCAGGCCTGCTTTGAAAAACACACACACACACACACACACATATATATATACACACACACACACACACACATATATTCATTCCCTTTTTGTCTTCTTAATGGGGCCAAATGTGTGTATTTCGAACCCATTATCCCCGGTTTCAGACAGATCAGCTTCATCCCATCTGCCCGGCAGCGATAATCCAGATTGACTCTCGGCTGCTCTCGCCATTGGTTTGTTTCCATCTAAATTAAAATCTCTCTCAGCGGTGCATTTAATCCGGGCAGAGTAAGGAGCATCTTTTGGCAAGATGTCGATAATTATAATGATGATGACGATGACAGTAATAATAATAGGTGGATAACAATTTTGTTTATGATAATAATAAGAGGGAAAAACAACAATAATACTAATTATAATAATATTCCAGCATATATATCTAATTGCTGTTACATACTGTGTTTTGTGTCAGTATAATAATAATAATAATAATAATAATAATAATAATAACAATAACAATGATAATAAACGAGGAGAAGACTTAATAAAAAAGAAGAGTAGAGGGTGATGAAGTTGAGCATGCCCCCCCCCCCAACAAGGGATGGTAACTTATAGTTCTGCAAAGGACAAGGGTACCAGACTGCACAATAGTGGTTAAGTCTTGGTCAATTTGCCGAGACACTAACAACAATGAGGACCCCACGAGACTTCGGGAATGGCTAGACCTTGGGGTCTCTGCCTCTCTCTCGAGAGCTGTAGTTTCCCCAAGGACCAAGGACCTGCTTCGTTCTCAGCTCTGCAGAACTCCATCCTCTGGCTCAGTGGAACTCCATTGATTCTTTGCATGACTTATTGGTTTCTGCCCCTATTCTGGACTTCACTCTCTTCAAGGACTCGCTCTCTACCCATGAACATTCTTTAAGACAACTTATGAATTCATGTTGTGTCCTGATATCGTCTGCTTTTTATAATTGGTATTATTAATTTCTCTCTGGGGTCCTGGATGGGAAGATACCTGCATATGATTTCCCTGTGTATAATTGCTATATGATTTCTATGATTCCTTGTATTCCTGACCCTAGCCTGACCCTTTGTCCCCTTCTCCCTCCAAAGAAATATGTAAGGGAATCGCCTGGCCTTCAAGAACAAAAACCATTAGCAATTACCGAAACCCCCCAGCCAAAGACACTCTTGCATGGATAATAGGAAAGGATTCTTATCTCTAGCATGGGAGATGGCCCACTAGAGTAAAGAATTGTTTGGCAAAGTTTCTATCACTCTTTAAGTAAGATAAGGGGAAATCTTCCCCTCTGCTTTTTGTTTACTTCCCATTGATAGCATTAACCCCAGGCTGCCCTCATTGTTCTCCTGTCTCACAGCCAGGAAGGATCTGGATATTCTTACACATGCTGATTTACAACACTCATGGACACAATAGATCAGCCCTGCTTGAGATTTCCTTTTTGTCTCGCGAGCCACATGGCATTATTTTTTCAAAACTAATTCACAGATTCCTTTGTGTTCTATCGTCCCGCCTCCCTCTCTCCTGATTTGCTGTCGCCACCAGGCAGCAGAGGTCTCCGCATTGGATCCTACGGACCACTGGAGCTTCCTGATTGGTCCAGAGGCGCCGGGGGCGGGAGGGCCGCCTCCCAGCTGTTTGCCCACCGTCCAATCACGGTGGAGGGCAACAAGGAGGCCGGGGCAGGAAGTTTGAACTCTGCAACTTTGAATTTACTATAAATACAACTGTATTGGTGTATTCTCCTCATGCTGGCGAATGATTGCAGCTCTGCATCCTTTTCAGCTGAATCACAAATAAAATCTCGATGGCTTTTCTTCAACTTGGTGAGACCTTTCATTGGGAAATCAGGGGAAAATATTGGGTGCTTCTCTTCTCGCTAGGGAAAAAGAACTCTTTGATGAGTCTAATTGGTCTCTGCCTCCTGGCAAAGACCCCTAAATTTTAGCTCTAGATCAGTGATAGTAATAATAATAACGACAACAACGATGGACGAAATCATGATCCGTCAACTGCAAAAAGCCACCTGACTTGGATCTGCACGCATCATCCGAAAATA